ACTAAGTTTTTTCAGTGAGTAATAAACTTTGAGCTTGTTAGCAAGTAGTATATGAGAACTACCTCTAAATGATAAGTGTCATGCCTATAATAGGTCCTTTTTCTCATGTCTCATGTTAAGGGTAGGGTGAACGTAGATCATTTCTTATATAAGTAGATCAACCAAAAAAATATTACACAAAAATCGAACATATATTATATATAAAAGTTTTTAAAAATGTAACTGATTTTTATAAAAGTTTTAGGATAGATAGATTAGACCCTTCTAATTCTAATTATAATAATTTGAACCCCTGTATTATTTAAAAAAACATACTTGTATATATTATTAATTCTTCCTAGGTTGATCAAAATTTGCCTAGGTTACACAATATAAATATTATATGATCATCACCTGATTTCAATTAAATGTTTTTGTAAAAAAATTAGTAACATGATCACTAGTAAAAATGATCGACGTTCACCCTACTCTTAAGTTTAGAATTGAAATGATCCAATGGTTTATTAGTTTTCAAAAGACTTTTATATTTTTTGAATCAATAATTTGCATTTTGCTATATTAACCAAACTATATTATATTCAACTACTAATCCTATTTTAACTAACTACTAACTTTATCTAGCTTCAATCTATCATAACCCTAGCTTAAAAGTCGCTGCATTACAAAGAAAGCTACTATATTTGTCAAGTAATAGAATGTGCCAAAGAATTGAACTATACTATTCAATGCTTTAATGCCACTTATGTTAAAAAAATTCAATAACCATGTTCATTATTTAAAAAATTGAAACCTACTATCAATTACCAAAAAAACATACAACCATATATAAGACATAAAAACTAACAAAAAGCAATACCAAATGACTATACATAAAATGGTAATACCAAAGATAATCATCTGTGAAATAACACCAAAGGTAACCATCTATAAAATAGCAATACAAAAGACAACTACCTGTGAAATAGTGATGCTAAAGACACTATTTAATGAAATGGCAAGACTAAAATACTAACACCAAAATGATAGCTCTGACAAATAATGATACTAACAATAACATCAGCAAAAAGAAAGCACCAAGAAACAAAGATCCCAAAACTCTAGAGAGCTAACCTTATAAAAAGACTAGAGAGTAAAATATTATAAAAAAATCAGATATACTGTATACAAAAAAAAATAGTAATCTTGTTAATCAATTCCTGGTTAGGTAGTCCTACTCTAAGATATGATAACCAAATTACAGCTACTAGTATTATCATAACTTTTAAAACTCTAATAAAAAATTTGCCAGATAATTTTTAGCTAATACTAATATATAATAAATTATACTTATCTCTTGTTAAATTCGAAAAATATAATACTTTCAAAGTATGTTCACTGGCAAATTATTGAAAAAAATTTAAAAGACCTATCAATTTGAAAAATTGCAAAACACTCAGGTGTTAGTAGGTATTCTATAAGTCGGATACTTTGCATTTTCGAAGATATTGTGTATTAAAAAACTTTCATGCTTTAAACCACATTCTCTAAGCATGAAAGAAATAAAATATCTTAAACTTTATAAATAAAAAACCTTACCAATAATACTTTTATGAATTACAATTTGAAATGGAACTTTAGTTAGGCTATATACTGACTTGAATATATATACAAAAAGGTAATATTTTGTATATTTATAAATATTTTTACGAATCTCTTAGTATAAAATGAATTAGGTTTTGAAATTGGACAACAATGTAATTTAAGTTTCATAGCTAATAAATAAATTAAAGTCCAGATAATATTAATTATCAGATTTTACTTAAGGTTATCTTGAGTAAAAAGTTAACCAGGTATAATCACTATATACTTGGCTATATTCGATTATAATTTAAGGTACCGTAACAATATAACTGTCTACTAGACATGACTACCTTGTCTGGTCTGAGTCTGGTTCAGACCCAGGTCTGGTCCAAGTGACAACACTACCTGTAGGCATGCCTAATTTTTTAGCCATGCTCAAAACCCTATGAAGTGGTTTTGATTAGAGCTGCAAACATTAAAATATCAATAAACATTTACTATAATATTTGATATGACATATGTAACATGATATTAGGGTGTTTAATAAACTAATTGATCAAAACTTAGTTAGGGTCATATATGATGATCATTAATTTTGGATTTTTTAAAGGGTTATTTCATATATAAATTTGTACTAATTTAGGTACATTTTTCTACACAACCAATAAACAAAGTTTGTATATGTTTTTTTAAAAAACTGTAGTTCTAGACTAGCTCTACACTGCAACAGAACTGGGTTTTTAATAACTTTTAATAAAATTTTGGGTTAATTTTTATTAATAATTAACATAGTTATTAAAAAACCGGTTCTGTTACAGTGTAGAGCTAGTCTAGAACTACAGTTTAAAAAAAATATGCTACAATTTTGTCTGTTAGTTGTGTAGACAAATGTACCTAAATTAGTACAAATTCATATATAAATTTATATGTGAAATAACCCTTTAAAAAATCCGAACTTAATGACCCTAACTATGTTTTGATTAATTAGTTTATTGAACACCCTAACTATGTTTATATATAAATTTTATATGACGTAAGGAGTGACGTACTACCTTGGACCTTCTCCTTCTAAATGTTTGCAGCTCTAGTTTTGATACTAAACATAATATATATATATATATATATATATACAGGAGCATGCCCAACCCTACACCTGAGGCAACATCTGAGGCACAACATAAATACTAGCAATTCGAATTAATAACGATAAAGGTATATTTCATCATAGTTTACACCTTATCGCTATTAGCTAATTCTAGCTTAAACAAGATTTCCAAATGATATTTGCTCGTGCATTTATTATTGGTTTAACAATTTTAGAAAAATAAGAAAACAAACACCAAAACAGAGGGCTTCTCTGATGATCGGTATAGAACGTATTGCTGTTCAGAGTTAATTTTTTTTTCATATTTATATGGAACTGCAAGTATAATAATCACCACTTCGACCAAAATTTACTTGCGCATAAAATATGATAAAAAATCATGCACTATATTGTATAAAAAAGTTGGTATTTCAATATTAGTTTAATAAGTATATGTCTACCTAGAATACAGTCGTACTCCTCTATAGTCACCTCCTACATAATCACAACTTCTATAAAATCACTCAAAAGTTTGAAACAATTTATTAATAACCTTATTAAAAAATACCTCCATATAAGCACATTATAGTTATAATAATCAATATTTGTGTAAAACAAACTGAGTGATTATAGAGGAGGACGACTGTAATACCTAAATCTTTTTCAATTTTTTGAATCGTAAACCATGAATAAGGGTCTGCAAGCCGGGCTTGTGACCGTGCCTAACAAAAACATAGGCAAGGCATCAGCGCAAAATCTTAGGCGTGGGCATAGGCACAAGCATGGGCACATTTGACAAATACAAAATTTTGGCCAAGAACTTTTAAAATGTTACCTATGATGTGTTTGGCAATTTCGTATCTATGGGCACAGGCAGGGTTGGAAATTGAGCCAATGGAGTTAAATGGTTATGTCAAAAGACTAGTATCCATTGGCTCTATTCGGAGTTCCATTGGCTCCATTGCCAACCCTAGGCACAGGCCAATATGGGCATTTGCAGAACCTATCCATAAATTGTCTTTATGGGGTTATAGCAGGGGTAATATAGTCTGTGGCGTACAGGTACTGTTATAAAACGTACCAAGAAATGATAAAAAAAAAACATGTAATCATGATATCATATTTAGTTAAGTTAAAAAGAATATACCTTATCGTTATCTGTTATAACTCGGATAAAGACTAGTCTTATATTATAGCTATATTATAACACCATTGGCTACAATATTTTAGGCAATTAAAAATTAAAATCTGTTGGTTGCCAGAAATGCAAACACAATTAGCATATCTGCATATGATCGAACTTGAGATATGTAAAATGCATGTGAAAATTGAAAACAACCTTATCGTTATTACGTATTAATGAATTAATGAAAACGATTTGATAGATAAAACATCCTACGCCCGAGAAATTCCTCACTATGGCTCTGAAATTAGCCAATCAGAAAGAGGTATCCTATATCGCCAGATCACCATATAAGAGTTATATATTTCCTCTAAGATATTCTTCATTACTCACTAAAAATAAATCGGCTAACCTAATTTAGACTTTTATTAGTAATAGATTAAGGATTGATAGAACGTACAATTTACATACGTATCGATATGATATTGCACAACATTTGTATGCATTTACGTAATACGAATTATGAAATCTGCGGATAATGGAAATACCTGTCAGTTTATAACCGCATTAGGTTAATCAAACAGAAGAGAATCAATTTTCAACCAACAAACGAATGCATCAAAACCACGATAATATTTAATACCACGTGAGGATGCCATTTTCCTAAACTTGCATTAAGAAAAAGTTTCTCCCGAAAAGCAATTAAACGCGTGACAATTCCTTACAATCATCTATTGTCCAATTAAAATTTATCCCAATTTGTAAATGAAATGCAACTCCGATCAACTGTCTGCAGGATTTATAACATAAATATTTATTAAGATTTACAAAGTTCTTTCAATAATTGTGTTTTCTTTTTTTTTTTTTTAAAACAAAGACATTGAGATATATGTTTCTTTCGTCAGATCTTCTTACTACACTAGCTTGTTCTTTTTTTCTGCTAGTTTTTTCCAAATCGTCTCATGATTTACAAGCCTTATTCACTAATCGGTAAAGGTGTAACAGAATAATGTAGGCTTTGTATTTATGATTTTCTTGTCCGAATCAAACTGATTAACCCTTGATTGTTTTGTTTCTCATTAAACATACTCTTCAGATTTTCAGAATTTTAAACTTTTATTCCTCTTAAAATTTTTCAACTTTTATAAAGGTATAATTATTTTTCGATATATGTATTTTATTTTTAATTAATTTTCTTGAAATTAACATAAACATATGGTCTAGCAACGAAGAATGGCTTTTCTGGGAAGATCCACACCTGAGTCAACAGTTATTGAAGAAACAACTTCAATTAACTCTAGAAACGCTGATATATTAGACAAACGAGAAGAAAATCAAGTTAATGATAATATTAATGATTTAAATAATAAAATTTCCGATAGCAATTTAACTCGTGAAATAACAGCCTATGGTTTGATGTTTGGATCAAAAGCTAGCTTACTTTGTAATTTTGGTGATTTACCTTCTTGGTGTCAGGATAATCGAGATATACTCCGAGGTGCACTTTTTTTTTTTGCTTGAATTTGGAATCAGATTTAAATACTATTCATTATATGAAAAGTATTTCCGGTTTCAAGCTTTTTGTATTTGAAATTTTCTGGTTCGTAAAGAGGATTCAGAAATCGTTCCTTAAGATGTTAAGGTGTTATTTCTTTGCTAATCTTTAGGATATCGAAAGCCGACATCTTCATACATAGAATGCATTTACTCTTTATTTTATATTCATAATGAATTCAGTAAGTTAATTTTCTTTTTCTTGCCATGATTTAGATAATTATTAATATTATTATTTTTCATATTATTTTAAAGTTAATATCTGGAGCCACTTCTTGGGAGCCATAGTCTTTGCCTTTCTTTCATTTGTAACATATTTCTATGTGTTGGATCAACCAACAATCGTTTGGCAAGATTTCTTTGTGGTTTATACGTTTTTAGCAGGTGCCATGATTTGTTTAGGTTTTAGTTCGACTTTTCATACTCTCTGTTGTCATTCCGAAAAAGTACGTTTTTGCTTTTTGGTTTTGATGTATAATTTAAATTGGTGCAAATATATAAATAGGTAAAAGAATATCGTCTAATAACATCATTTTTGTTAATTTGATCTTATTAAGGTATTTGCCGATTGGAATAGATGCGATTATATCGGGATTGTGACTTTGATCGTGTAAGTTCAAATTATTTTTTTTATCACCAGTATCTAATATGGAATTATAATAATCACACATATATATATTGAATCTCCATAATAATAGAGGATCGTTTTATCCGACAATTTATTATGGTAAGTATACTACAGTCAATCGAATATAACAAACTTTTATTATAGATTCGTCATATATGAAATACTGTAAAACCGCGAAATAGCAATTTTGAAATTGGTTCTGTTGAGAATAATGTACTTAGGTCCAAAATAACGCACACATCATTTACAATATAGTAATAGCTATTCTCAGAAATTGACCTGTTATCTTGAAATAGCACATGTGGGCATACTCGAAATAATGCTTGGTACGCGGTTTTTTTTGCGGTAATGTAATAAATGTCGCGGCTGCTGCTGAAAATTAAGTCTCTACTTGAAATATCTATAAAATTCATCCTCTAAAATTTTAAAGTTCTCATGTTGATCCAGTGACAGCTGCGACATGTTAATCAGACATTCGTGTATATACTTGCTTTGATCTCTTTGCCAGGAGATCTATATTATGTTAAAATTATGTCTGAATTTACACTTTATCTTGTTTACATTAAGCGAGAAAAGTGCATGTGGCCATTTTAAGCGTGATAGATAATTAGTGACTTACTGGTTTTAGACAATTGCCTTTTTATTTCTATAAAAACATTTTAAATAACTATTTTATATTTTTGTCAGGTTTTTATTGTGATTATACTTGGATGTTATTTTATTTATCACTGATAACTATACTAGGGATTGTTACGGTATGTAATTCATAACTTAATTAGATCCATCTTCATGCTACAAAATATAAATATTATTTTTGAATAATTAGATATGTGTCGCTGTATTGCCAAGGTTTCGATCTCCTCATTATAGATGGTTTCGGACTGGTTTATTTTTAGCAATGGGACTAAGTGCTATTGTACCATTGGCACACGGCATAGCTCTTTATGGGGTATGTTCTTTTGTGGAAAAAAGTTACAAGTGGACTTTTTAATGCACGTTATTAACAATCGTTTTCATCGTTCATTACTTAAAATATAGATTGACGCCTGTTTTAATGCAATCTCTTTAAACTACGTATTATGCATGGGCATCCTTTACGTTGTAGGTGCACTTTTCTATGGAGCAAGGTACGTTTATCCGTCATCTTGTTTGCTCAACCAATGTATTTGCAGAATATTAGAAACAAAAGGTTAAATGATTTTGTGTTGATGTAGAATTCCCGAAAGATGGTATCCTGGAACATTTGATATTTTTGTAAGTTATTTGTTCATTTATTCTTTTTTTTTTCCCCTCTATTTTATTAATATTAAAGTACCAAACGTCTATAATTTATAGGGATCATCACACCAAATATTTCACATGTTTGTAGTGGCGGCCGCTTTAGTTCATTATTTTGGAGTTACTCAAGCGATGTTGTACTGGCATAAAACACATGTCAGATGTTGAATTAAGTCCCTAAACCAATTAACTAGAGTTTTACGATTTTACTATTATGTACCTATATGATCATGTTAATGGTCATTTTTAATCCTGGTGATTTCAATTTCATTATTTAATAGATTTTTTTTTTTTCTTTAATCCTGGTGATTTCAATTTCATTATTTATTAGATTTTTTTTTTTTCTTTAATCCTGGTGATTTCAATTTCATTATTTATTAGATTTTTTTTTTTTCTTTTTTAACATTAATGTAAAATACCAAATTTTCGCGTAGTTTTAGAAACTTCATTATATATAAGTGGAGATTAAAGAAATTTCAATTAGAATGGTATCTGGTTTAACTGGCCCCCATCTAAGCTTCTTTGTTATCATCTTTTTTTTTTTTTAAGGATCTATATACAAAGATTGTGAAATGAAAGGTTAATTTAAGGTGTTGGATGTAATATTAGCTAGAATTGCGGCCCAAATTGTGAAAAATAATATATGTTTTACTATATTTTTGTTTATTTTTTAAAGTAAAAACTTTGCAATATAACTTTATATTTCAGGGACGATGATTTTCTGCGGTGACAAAATGCCGTGATAAAAGATGATTCTGCAAAAGTTCTGTGATAGGCCAGAATTACGTAAAGTCGGCCAGCATTATAATCCGCAAATTAATGTCAGCTAACATTATGATGACTTTAGATCCTAAATCCAGGCCAAGATTTAAAAATAATCTGAACCAATTCCGTGATTTTTCTGTGAATGCACAAATTTATTCATACATCTAGGGTTGTTAACTTACACGTTACTTACCAATTTGTAACTTACGTAAATTACTTACATACGTTTGCATCATATATCAAATTTTTAGCCATTACAGTTGATGTTAGTAAAAATTGTTACGTTATTCGGCTAGCTTTAAAGTTATTTTGTATAGGCCAGGTAAGTTATAGTAAGTTACACATATAAATTACATCGTCTGTAATTGTCTAATTTGTTGTAGATCGTCTTGTGATTTTTATAGAATTTTATTGGTTAATCAAATTAGATTTCGTGTAACAATATCCTCTTAATAAGACATTCTTATATGTTTATTGTCCAAAGCGAAGCGAGGACTATATATTTACTTCAAATCATGCAATGTCCGTTGACACCACCCAATCAATTTATCATATTAAGTTACACTACATAATTCTGCATATTTTTCAAAATAACATATATAATATTATAGAGGTTTAATATATTTATATATGAAAATATATAATTTTTAGATAATAAGATAACTTACCAAAGGTATAACAATAGTGATATGACAATTATTTGATTTAAATGAATTTATCAAGGTGATTTATTCAATATATTATGAGTTATATTGAAATCCCATAGGATAATATTTGCAAAAGTTAACTCTTTCCAACAATCATTTGGACCAAAATTTCTTATTAAAAGAAAATGAACTTTTGTTGGAGAGTTATCATAGTCTAATGTAATGGTTTGCCTAAAGGTTAATGGTTTTCTGTTTCAGGACTTCTCTATAAGTTGTGTATTTGACATGCAAGCCAAGAACGTTGGTAAACAAGATAACTAGCAGGAGGTGTGCACTTTTGGATACAAAATCTTGGTAAAGGGACTAGTGTCTTCTTTGTCGACAAAGTTACCTAGGCTATTTATTCCTGAAGGAAAACACAGGGGAACAACAAAAGTAGATTTTTCGTTAAGCTGCACTCCTTTATTTGGCTAAGTGGTTCCTTCTTTACTCCTACCCACCTTCCTATCGGTTTTCCAAAATTTTTTTGAAAAAAGTGAGAATTTGGCTTATCCCTGTCAAAAAATCAATATTGTTTACCTCCAAATCCGAATAGACCAGTAAATGGTAACACATGTCCGAAAATAGATATGATGTTTAAGTGCTAGAATGGGTCCTAGTCAAAAAAGAACTTCCTGATTGTGGTAGCAAGTGGCTTGAAATACAGGTCTACGAATAGCGGTAGCATCTACTTAAAATATAAATTAGGTTTACAGAAAAATCTAGAGTTGGGTCAAAAAGAAAAATAATGATAAAGCACAGTCTTATAGTAGAAATATACAGATATTGCTTTTGTATATAATTTTTATTAACCTGGCATAGGTTATAATAGTGCACCTCTATTTCTTATATGTGTCAGGTTCGCCTATTTTTTTTTTGCTTTTTTTATCCTTTTCCCTTTATATATAGATAGAGTTTAGAGTTTTTGTTCGACTCTTGTTTGTATATGCCTTAAATTTCTGGTCTTTCGTAAATTTTGGCATTATTTTCTTCCTTTATACAAATATAAGAGATTTAATTATTCTGCCAGAATTTAGGTGGAAAAAGTTTTAAAAGAAGATGGATGATCTTGACAAAGTCGACAACAACTTGTTTATGATCAAGAGAGTACTCTTAGTTAGTACAAAATTCAACACAAGTATTAAATCCCGAGTGAAACTAATAGTTGTTATAGCAGGTTGCATTGGGCATTTTGCTTGGTGAGTTTTTATTAGATTAGAACATTATGTTTTAAAAATGCAAGTGCTCTGTACTTTCATTAATAAGTAGTTCCAATAAATAAAGACAAGATTGCTTAAATATATATATATATATATATTTATTGACTATCTAACAAATTTAAGAAGCTTACGTTAGCTGGTAAATATAGTGGTGTTGCAAAATCTACTACCCGTATAGTAAGTTACACCCACGTTAGGTAGGGTTAGGCCGAATATGTTAAGACCAGAAGGTTTAAATGAGTACTCCTTTAGTTAAAGTGCAGGTACAGCAGATAGTGTAGAACCTTCAGGCAGACTACTTAAATTAGACACTCAAAAGGTGCACGTGTGGCTTGATCTATTTTCATTATAATGTATAGTGTTTAATAAAACTTGCTTAATAAAATCTTGCTGACAATTAGAGTTATCTTTATCAAAAAAAAAAAAACAAATTTAAAGGGCTTACAATAAGAATTTTAATATAATAAAGAAGGCTTTGCTTTGCTTCTGCAATATTTTATATTGCAGCTACTTCTAACTTCTATTTTGATTTTTAGTTTTTTTTTTTTTCTTTACAAGTGCTTGTTCTTTGGTTATTTATTTTTTTTGGCCAATAAGCCTCAACTGATAAACCAGTATTTCTTGTCTTGATTGCTTTTCAATCATGAGTTTATTATACCAATTTTGTTAATTTATCTTTTAGCCAGTAACATTTACCCCAGATCTATTTTATATATACTATATATAAATAACTAATTTAAAACTAAAATACTATATAAATAAATTATAATAATAAAATAATAAACAAAATAAAGTAAAAAAAAAAAAGTCTTATTCTGATATTTTATCTCTTGAATGGCCATTGTATATTCTATATAAGATTAGCACTCTATAAAGAATAGCTTCTTTTGCTGGTTTCGAACCCAGGTTATTCTGCTTACAAAGTGATATTCTAACCAGTAGTCTATATTAGAATAATTACCAAATTTCAAAAATTAACTCTTTAAAAAGATTATTTGTATATCTTAATTATCCAATCGTAAAATTTTTCTTTATATGATCTAAACTTTAAATTAGATATTTGATTATCTTCATAATATAATTTTTGATTTATCAAAAATTAAAAACTAAAACAAAATCTTTTTATTAATAAAATTTTTAGTTACAACATGCCTTGCTCACAAAAAAGAAACAATAACTGTTATTCAAAAAAACAAAAGTAAAAAATAAAATAAATTATAATAATAATATTATTAACTAATATAATATATATATATTAGTAAGAAAGTAAATAAGGGGGCTTCTAGAAATCAGCTAATTTATTTTTACTAATAGGCTACCCCACCCACCTATATCTAACACCCTATTAGCCAATTAAATTTCATATTTATTTAAAATTTTTGGTAATAAAACATAGTAAAATTTTCAAATTTGGAGTTTATTAATTAAAATATTTTTTTTATTAAGTAAACCTTTTTCAACTTCTAATAAAAATTGTAAAGGAGTATCTTGTAATCAACATGGCAGTTAAAATTTTAAAATCAGCACAGTAAATTATAAAATATAAGTATTTTTGTCTTTATAATTATTTGTTTTCTTTTTTATATAAATAAAGAAAAAAGCATGTAGTTATAAAGACTAAAATGCTTATATCTTGTGATTTAATAGACTAATTTTAATGGTTTAACCACTATTTTAATTGCAAGACAATATTCTACAACTTTACTTAGAAGCTAAAAAGAGATTTACTAAGTAAAGGTTTAAAAATCACAATATTTTTTATTTATTTATTTTTTTTTTAAGCAGTCTTGTCTTTATTTATTTGAACCACTATTTAACTATTATACATGTATAATTGA